TCTCACAAAAAGAAGCTAGCGCTAAAATCTATGCTTCTATAAACACTTTCCGAATTGAGTAGTCGAGCACTGAAGGCATTGAAATCCTAAGTTTCATGAAAGTATAGTTCCCATGATATTTCGCTATCCTCTCAAATAACATCTGGAACTCAAGAGAGCCAAGGAAATTGATGCTAATCCTGTTCCCTTTCATATCTTCAAAATCATCCCAGCAGAAAACTGCAATTACAGAAAGATGAGCAAGAACATTCAAAATCTTTACCACTAGACGCAGCTGGGAATGTAAACTGAGAGTCTGTCTTTTAGAATTGTTAAACATTCTTCTAGAAAATTTGAGCTTAGTAAATGCGATTTTAGCGAAACACCACAAGATTCCATATGATTAGACATTTGGCGCGATGCCCAATGGTTCCCTTTTGGGGCTTGTTTAAGCCTTTGGAACCTAATCCTGCAAATGTCCCATACATTTTTCCAAAGGACAAGTGATCGGTCGCCAGTATGACAAACAATCTGAAATGCTTAAGATTTCAACGTATTTCCATAGGATGTTAGAGTCGGTTTTGATCAACTATCATTGCGGCATCCGCAAGGTAGCATATGAAGATTTATAAGGAGCACAACTCTTATGACAGTTTCTAAAAGTGTGGAGCTAATGCCTCTTGTAAAAACTATAATTCCATTATTCTGTGCTGATGCATATAGATGGCTTAGAACTTGAATAAATGCTGTTATATGAACTCTTCCAACAAGTTGTGCCTATCGTGAAAAACTTTTTTCGAATAGACAAGATTGAAGAGTAAACCTTTTATTCTTGGATTTTTTTAAGCAACAAATAGCGGAATTGTGACATTTCCTATTGTTTGTACTGAACGATATGCAGCTTGCGCATCAGTAGCATCAGCAGGAGCTACAGCAAAGTTTATCACTATCTTGTCTTCTTTGATTGGTCCAGCCTAAAGTCGCAACTTGAGGAGTGCTTACGAACTGTAAGTCGCTCACCGTGCGAATGACTTCCAATGTTGTTGTGGAACCGGGACTGAGAAAACCAAAGACAGGGGATACCCGATAATTATCGTTGTTGGAACTTTTCACCTTGAAGATCAGCCGATCTTTACAACAATTCGTCAGCGTGTGCGATGATGCACCACCAGATGCGGCAAAATCAGCAGCTGATGGTTCGGCTGTGAGTGACATCCAATATTATTAGAAATGAGCGTTACCAAACCATAATTGTGCATTTATACCACAAGATAAGTCAGTTATTCAAATGTAAACATATCGCGCCAACCCTGCACGAAATCACGTACTTCTTCCACATTTTGGATAAACGCTTGGGCTAAAAAAAGTCGATATATGGTGGAGTTTGCCTGAAGCTTATGGTAATAACAAGAAAAGAATAAGAGACAGCTTGGTTCTTTGGTATATACAATTAAATATGCTTTAAAATCCATAAATTTTAAAGTATCTGTAAGAAAGCTAATTTCTCACGACATACAAATAGAACATTGGCATAGATTCGCTGCATTCACCGAGCAGAGAAAACTCATAAAATCAAGGCTTTATTTATCTTTAATATGAGATCGGTACACGAAGCTCAATGGAGTGTATATACATAAGAGTCAGAGAATTAAAGATAAGTTCTCTATCAAGAAGGATTAACAAATTAAATGTCGTTATTGAAAAATTTCAGATATAAGTAAGATAGTAATGCTACTGTATATCAAGGATTTACAACTTGACTCCGTTCTTAACGGAAAACTCGCATTTATTTACAAAAAGCGTTAATGAACCACTTAATTTATCCTTCTCGTAAATTTTTGCATCGCGCACCTGAATCCTTCTCGTCTTCATTACAGCCTGGAATGGATGAAATTAATCCTAAACTTTATAGTTTACTAAGCTAGTATGCACCTCGGCAAATCGAATCATATTATTCAATTTCGGGACAAATTCTAATAGGTCTTCTTCAAGATACAGCTCCATCACTCGATCAGCTGAGAAAATATCAGGGCTGCCAGGGAACTTAGCCTGAACACATAGTGAATCATGTAGTTAGGTAATGGGATCTTTACCTAATACAGAGTACAACACAAAAAACCCACCCATATCTCTCTGTGTACTTCTAAAAGCAGCTGAGCCAGTCCGCTGTTTCGTCTATATACAATAGGAATTGTGATACGATAAGAGTACGCTACTGGTGACAATTGTTGCCGTTCTAAAACCAACTTGTAACATGTAACTTTAAAAAATCATGCATCACCAAAATAAAGGAGCAGCGAATACTGAATTTGAAAGTGAGATAAACTGACCAATGAAACAGTTGGGACACCAAGTTTTTCTGGCCTTCTCAACAATGATCTCTTCATAACAATTCAAACATATAGCCGTAAATATGAGCGCATGGCGGAGATACTCCTCATCCCGCATAGTTTCCAAACTTGCCTCGGCAAAGCTGAGATATAATATTATAGATGATAAACAGA